TAACGCGGTGCGAAATTCCGTATGTGATATAATGAATTTGAAATTATGAAAATAGTAATAATTCGAGGTAGGGAGAATCCCTCCTCACACAACAACAGGTTAGGAAACTGTTTATATTTACCAAACCTTGGTAATGCTAATTGCATTTTGTTTGCAGTGCCCGATGTCCCGCACCGAGGGATGCCTCTGTAGATGTTATATGGCGCACTTTGACAACTTCCTACTCAAGAAACTTTCACTTTTATCGCCATTAGACCCCACGCTTCAGTGCATGCTCACTATTTTCACTTCTGATTCATTCCATGGAGACCCCTATCATTTAGCGTCGAATATTTGTAAACAGCCTGACCCTGTCGTCCAGCGTCAGCTAGATGAACTTCGAAATATTTTAACTCCTAACATTTACGGAGAGTTCGATGGGTATAGAAAAATGACGCGAGATTTTTTCACTGACCGAGCCCGATCCAGGAGCCATTACAGGGATAAATTGAAGAATATAGAACTTGCTGTGATGCTCCTGAAATATTTAGCACCACAGCGTAGCCTGTAAGTGTTGCTTCATTCAAATTTTAATTCAGGCAGGACTATAATTAGTTAATGGATATATTTCTACAGTTCTGAGCCTGGCTCTATACTAGATCAGGATTGTTCGACAATTGCGCAGAACATCCTTTCACGTTTTCGTAGGGAGCCCCGACTGGTGACGTTCTTACGTATCAATCAAGTCCGAGATGATTTAGTGCACCGACAAAACCTAGTGCTGGCAATCGAAGCGTACATCAAGGTAAATTTATCCAAACCCATAATAAACCATCTTTTCTTTCTCACCTCTTTCTGAGATACACTCACTCACTAAATTCCATTTTTACTCTAGGAGTATGACCTGGGCATCACGGATGATGCCTTCATCTGGACCAGAGTCACTGGAACCCCCTATCCATTCTGAAATAACCGGTACCACCGGCAGTTCCAAGGAAATGGATGCATGCTCAGTCGCATTCTCCTCCCGCTCCTTGGGAACAACAACTGCCTAATCCTGCATCCAGAATTCGCACAATATTCAAGTCAGCCCCAGAGTATCCCATCAGCCGCAAGTGGGACAGGCTTGATTCGCCTTGCTGAAAGTGTCACGCCCATAGGTTCGAAAACAATACCTATATGACAATGCCCAACCGCTATGAGACAGACCGCTACTGCTGAAGGAAAGATCAACCCTACCGAACAATGGAAAGCGAAGAGGAAACGATCGACTCAACAAGGTAAAAAACAAAAAAGAAAGAAAGTGGAACGACCTCGTGGGGATGTCTCGGATGATGTAGAAGATCACTCTACGGCATGTTGGATGACAGGTTTAAACTCAACCCGCAGTTATATTGTCATTCAATATGTTTTTAGTAATTCCTCCAGCGCATACTATGGGAGTTGTTTATACAACACTCTATAGCAGGAAAGTCTACTGATGTAGGTTTAACTGAAGCCCCGGAGTCTCGCCTCTCACAATATAAATTTGAATACCAAAAAAACCATAATCTAAAAGACGAAATGAACTTGTACGTAATCATTTGGCTGTAGGGGATGAGCAGCCGTAACAATCTTTATTTCAGTCTGACTGCGAGACGACGTAGCTGGAAGAATCTCATTGAGAAACGTCCGAACCTCCGATGAGTCCGAGCAGAGCTGAAGAGGGTAGTATCTCTCTACAAAGACAAGATCAAGGGTCTTGAGAGCTCGATATCTTGGACTTGATAAGGTTTCGTCGATGGGTAAAAACACTGTGGGTAAAGGTCGTTGCATATCGTGGGGATTGTATCCGGGAAGGCAGGAAATCTCAATTTGGATCTGGGCGAGCATCGGTGTGGAATGTACGAGGAACTGGGATAAGAACCTTAGGGCATGGTTTTTATTCAACCGATACACCCCGCATGTTGTCTGGATAGATTCTAAGACTGGGAAGACGATGGTTGATTTGAAATTCAGGAAGAACCTATCTATGTAGAGAGATCAATAAAATATAGAAACCAGGCGAAAATACAATACTTACCACCATGATTATCAGAGAGAATGAGGGTAGTCAATGTCGGAGCCGCATGGGTCATAATTATTCCAAACGCCTCAGAGTCGTCATCTGACCATGGGTTCGAAATTCTCAACCTCCTCAAGAATGGAAAAAGTGAACCTGACAGTGTCTCTGGTCGTATTTTCGCGAATACAACCCTGATGAGAGTGAGAGATTCTAGATGGCAGCATGAAGAGAAGACGGATAGTGGGAAGTCCATCATACGCTCGAAATGGAGCGCAGTAAGATAAGGACAATCACTGAAAAGATTATTGACGGACAAAGTCATCGCTGTGAGCATAATTTGATAACGGAGGAAGGTAGGCGGAGCAATCCATCCGAATTCCTGTAGGCGACATAGCTGTCTAAAGACAGCAGATAGAGATTTGGAGGAGGTTTGATTGATTTGGTCCTTTACTGTAAATGAGCGTATATGTCGAGCTATATCGGGATTGGCGTTTAAAGTATCAAGCAAACCGTCGAGACGTTTTCGAGTGGAGATCGTGAGGGATGAAAAGATATATGGACTCGCTTGATTATAGAATTGCCTGTTTACTAGGGCACAAGCCGACAAAGCTGCTCGCGATTGCGGATCCTCGGCGGCGGATCTGAGTTCATTGAGGAAGAGATCCAATATTTCAGGAGGAAATATTTGGACAGACATGTTGTTCTTTCCGAGTTGACGAAGCAAGAACTCGGTTCTAGGTAGCTTAATCACCAGCTATTCCGACAAATCATGGGCCAGCATGCACGTGCCAGTGTGCGCAGCCGCCGCAGCGTTGTCTTTCCTGACTCGAACGACAGGTCGCTGACCTGACATGATAGGGCAAGGTCTGTGAGAAATCTATGGTAATGTTAGTAAGGCAATCAATTGATGGCCTGACTCTCATTCTGAGCCTTGACTTTTCAGACTTATAGTCAACCGACCTTGACGTGACCTCGTTGACTTGACTGCGCTGACTTGTACAACAACTGCGTGTGCGTCGCGTCGCCTTTAATCTTTGATCAATAATTGTCCCTAACTTTTCATCCCACCTTCCCTCCACCCGTTTTGGTCCATTTCTGTGCCTTTTGCATAGCCTATATTCTCTTTCTGTGGTAATCGCGGCCTGATTAATCCTGTGAGGTTTGCAGTTTTCACAAGAACGCTTTGAGGAGTGCGTTGAAAATATTAAAATGCAATGGCCAAGGGGATATTGAGGTTAGAAATGATTAATGAGGGCTCGCTGGATCGGCTGTTGATGTCGCAGAATCATTACTCAACCGGGGAGAAAGGGTGAATTTTGTTGGGAGGAATAACTAATATTTAAGGTCCGTATAGGATTTCCATCTACACACTGTCAAACTGATAATATAACGATGTGATAACGGCCTCTCACAAAATATAAATTCAAATACCAAAAACAAACCCCGTAAATCTAAAAGACGAAATGAACTTCTAGGCGGGTATATATCGTACCAGTCGTAATCTTTATTTCAGGCTGACTTCCAGACGACACAGCTGGAAGAACCTTATTGATAAACGTCTGAACTTCCAATAAGTTCCAGTAGGGCTGAAGAGGGTATCTTTGAGAGCTCGATATCTTGGATGACTTGATAAGATTTCGTCGATGTTATCTCCATAATCGCAGAAAACTTCAATTTGGATTTGGGCGAGCATCGGTGTGGAATGATGTTTGAGGCACCGGGATAAGAAGGTTAAGACGGGGTTGTTGTCATATTGATACATCTTGCATGTTGCCTGGATGGATTCTAAGGCTGGGAAGATGATGGTTGAATTGAAATTCATGAAGAACCTGGCTATGTAGAGAGAGAGAGAGATAAATAAAGTACCGGGCGAATTACAAAAAACTTACCATTAGTACCAGACAGAATGAGGGTAGTCAATGTCGGAGCCGCATGGGTCATAATTATTCCGAACGTCTTGTCGTCGTCATCTGACCATGGGCCCAAAATTCTCAGCCTCCTCAACGATGGAAAGAGTGAACCTGATAGTGTCTCCGGTCGAATATTCACGAATAAAACTCGGATGAGAGTGAGTGATTCTAGATGGCAGCATGAAGCGAAGAGGGATAACGACAAGTCCATTATACACTCGAAATGAAGGGTATTGACAGTAAGACAAGGACGAACGCTGAAAAGACTACTGACGGACAAAGGAGCCGCTATTAACGAGGTGGACCAATCCATCCGAATTCCTGTAGGTGGCATAACTGTCTGAAGACAGCAGATAGAGATTCGGAGGACGTTTGATCGATTTGATCCTTTACTTTCACTGTAAACGAGCGTATATGTCGAGATATATCGGGATTGGCGTTTAAAATATCACGTAAACCGTCGAGACGTTTTTTAGTGTAGATTGTGAGGGATGAAAAGATATATGAGCTCGCTTGATTATAGAATTGTCTGTTTACTAGGATACAGGCCAATAAGGCTGCTCGTGATTGTGGATTTGTGGGGGCCGATCCGAGTTCATTGAGGAAGAGATCCAGTATTTCAGGAGGAAATATAGACATGTCCGTTCCCAAGTCGACGAAGGAAGATTTTTGACACTCCGACACATCGCCGAGTGGCGGCATGCGCATGTTCGTCACAATACCTACTTCTACCCGTTTTGTCCATTTCTGTGCAACAGCCTTGTAACCTATGTCTCTTTCTGTGAGAATCGGCCCGAGTAATTCTAAAAGTTTGCCGTTTCACGAGAAAGCTTGGGGAGTGGGGTCAGCTGTTGAAGAATTATTATTCAATTGGGTATCCGATAAGGCTAGGGGGCCTTGTGATCAAGTTCTTCTTAACAAGATCTAAGTCTCGAGCTATCATCCTCATCGATTTGGGGTCTGGAACTGAACAAGTAACCCTATTATGCTAAGCAAAAATAAAAAATTCATTTGTTCAAGTTTCGATACGTGGAAGCAGAAGCAAAATCTTTCCCTCATTCATCATATGCATTAAGAGGGAATCGAACCCCCGGCGGGTCGAGTATTCAAATCTACCCAATGGCAACGACCCAGGTTACCACTACCCCATTAATGCTGCTGCTGCCAACTCCTTCCGAGTCCCAGTGATATTCGTTGAAGGGTCGTGACCGTGAGATCAAGCGACGTGTTCGGGGCAGTTGTGAACCCATTTGGGTCATTGTTCAAATCATACTACTCCAACTCCCAAGTTCCAATAAACCTTCCTGTCGGTCCCATGCGACTGCTTTCTCTTTCTTCTATCCTTATTCTTTTCGCTTACAATGGCGGCACCACCTTTGTTCATGCTGCAGACTCGGAGCTTTATCCACCTGGCTTGGTACCCCTCATCAATAGAGCCAATATCTTGTTATCGACAGGTCAATTCAGTGAAGCTGCAAAAGTTTACTCTGAAGCTATAGGTAACAAAAGTTCAAATTCTACGCTACGCTCTTCCCAACTGACTTATTATTATTTATTATAGACCAATCCCCATCCGACTATCTCCTCTATTACAAACGTGCCACAGCCTACCTATCCCTTCAACGACACAACTCAGCTCAAGACGACTTTGACAAAGTCCTTTCACTCACTTCAAACACATTCGATAACGCTCATCTCATGAAAGCACGTATATACACACGAGATGGTCATTTCAGTTCTGCTAGAACATCCTTATCTTCTTATATCAAAGCCAAAGGAAAAAAGATGGATAAAGAAGCTGAGGAACTTGACGTTGAGATTAAGGAAGGTGAGAGGTTGAAGGAAAAATCGGATAAGGAGAGGAAAGCGCAGTTGTGGAATGCGTGTATTGAGACGGCGAGTGAGGCGTTGAGAGTGGCGAGTCATTCGGTTGAGATTAGGACTTGGCGTGCTGAATGTGCTTTGGCGGCTGGAGATGTGGAGAGTAGCGTTGGCGATTTGACGTGAGTAGTTTTTCATCTATGGTTTCTCCATAACCATAACTGATGAAATTTTTATTAGCCGTCTATCTCACCTATTACCGCCATCAACTCAACTACTAACTCACATCTTCCGACTATCCTATTTCCTACTCCAAGCATCACCAGCATCCATGAACACTCTCAAACAATGCCTACACTACGATCCAGATTCCAAAATCTGTCTCAGTCTTCACAGAATGGTCAAATCTCTCGATAAAGGATTTACGAAACTAGAAGAACTCCTAAGCAAAGAAGATTGGCGTGGAGTCATCAAGTTACTTATGATCCCTGGTCCAGGAAAGAATAATGGAGATTTGTGGAGGAGATGGGAAGAAGCTATGTTGGAGAATATTGGGAATGAGAAAGATATCGTTCCACTCGTTCCTGTCCACCTTATTCAAGCTACTATACCACACCCACAAGCTTCAACAACATCATCTTCTTCGACGTCATCGTCATCGACAACAACACCACCTTCTAATTCAAAGAAACCCAAAGAACCACGAATACCTCTCCCACTAGCATCAAAAGTATCACCACAACGTCAAATTCTAGTCCGAGCACTATGTAAATCATACACCCGTCTATCCGATACCTCCCAATCTACAGAATATAAAGCTCAAATGGAACGATGGTGCGAGGAGTTGTTGACTCTCGAAGGTTGTAAAGAAGATGTAGACGGATTGATAGGACGTGGTGAAGCTTTGCTTGGGAAAGAGGAATGGGAAGATGCTGTTAGAGCTTTGGAAAAAGCGTTTGAGATAAGTGGACGTTCAGATCGAGAGGTTAATTCTCTTTTTACTTAAAAAAGGAACGCATATATTGACCTTGCATTTTTTTTTTATATTTATTTTAGATTTTGCAACGGGTACAAAAGGCAAAGAAGCTGTTGAAACAGAGTAAACAGAAAGACTACTACAAGATTATAGGCGTTTCTAGAGACGCAGACCCGAAAACGATCAAAAAAGCTTTGTACGTTCTTTCTCTTCTTTTGACCCTCAACATCCCCATTAACCAACCACTTACCCCAACTAGCCGCAAAGCAGCTAAAATCGCACACCCCGACAAAGGAGGTTCAGAAGCCAAAATGGCCCTCCTCAACGAAGCCTACGAAGTCCTGTCTAACCCTGAACTAAAACAACGCTTCGATAACGGAGAAGACCCAATGGATCCTATGGCTGGACAGGGCGGGTTCCCATTCGCGGCTGGTGAACATCCGTTTGCGCAGTTCTTCCAAACACAACAGGGTGGAGGAGGTAGAGGACCAGGTGGATTCCAGTTCCATTTTAGTCATGGACATTGAGCGCTGAGCGTTGGGGGGGTGGCGTTTGTTGGCATTTATGTTTGTAATATGTGTGAACTTTTTTTTTGTTTCGTTGGAGAATCTTTTCGTTCCTTTTTTTGTAAGTAAAGTAAAGTATATCTTAGAGCTTTTTTTAACAGTGCGTTTTTAAAAGGCTTTTGTTCGTAATTATAAAATATAACTCTTGAAACAAAGATGTAACAAAAATGACCGAGGTTTGGTACCGGCAAGGAATGCATTAAGAGGGAATCGAACCCCCGGCGGGTCGAGACAGTTTGTATCACTGGCAACAGATGGCAACGACCCAGGTTACCACTACCCCATTAATGCTTGTTATTCAAGGTCAACCGGTCACCTTTTGATATAAGACGTTCCCTTGGTGGCCAAGGGCGAAATCTGTGTACCACGTTGGTTTGATTGACTCGGAATCTCATTGTTGAATCACAGTTTGACCATTCTTACTCATCCCCTTCAACGCACACCTACAAGACAATGGTGCACCACATATATGCAGAAACATTGAACACAAAAGGTCAAGTTAAATCCACATTAACACGAATACAATAGCTTACTGTGTTTAATCGTAGACCTACCGCTGCACATTTTTACACCTAGCAAGACGGTGTAGGGAAAGATCAGTCCAACTCAGAGCAACAATCAAAAACAACCTCATCTCATCGTCTCCAAAATCTGTTCATGATTGTTCATCCGCCGAGTATTGATGAGGTGGAGATGGTAGCGTTGATCGGTGTGTTAACCATCAGAAAAGCGATCCACCATAGGTTTGTCCGCGTTCGAATCCATTGAATAGAGGTAAGTTGATGAATATAAGTTTCATCGATAGATAATCACTATAATCATCTTTTTGGTGATATATTTCAATGATGGAAGCCACCAGTAGTGAGGCCAGGCTTACCTTTCAAAAAAACTCGGTTAATACCCAAGGTAACAGGTTGCATAGCTTCGAATTAGTTAGTGGTAACACATTCCTACCTGACCAACAGCAACAGTTTGTTGAGATCATCACGAACTTCAAGCTTTACCATAGTGACTTTATTTGATATAGATGCTAGACTCTTATATAAACCAATGGTCAGAGATGAAATAGGTCATTACACCAGACACGAAGTCATGAGGCTAAGTACTACAGACTTTGATCGCATTGGAATAGTTCTCGAATGCTTCCTCTACGGTGAGACATTTTTGTACAACTTGCACGGCCCTTGCTAAAGAAGTATAATATTAATTTGTCCCAGGACTTTATTTCGGCATATTTGCCATATATTTAGAAGGAATATTGAAAAGAAGCACCGACAAGAGGAACAAAATCCTTTTCTACGCTCTCTGTGCTCTCTACGTTCTATCTGCTGTTACCGTCGTGGTTGATATAGCACGTTTCACGTATCATGTTAGTAACAATTCTATCAGTAACGATAACCATATTTTTTTACACTTTCAGTTGTGCAGATTTTCAGGAATCTGACAGCAACATTCCAACTCGATCTTCTTCAAGGCGCAGTATTTGGTTGGTGTGATTTCATCGCTCAATCCATCCTAGTATGTATACACTGCTATGCCTATCATGTATTTTACTGATGCAAATCTTAAAGATATACCGTTGCTGGATTGTGTGGGGTTGCAATATCCGTGTTGTGATCCTTCCTTCAATCTTAGCAGTTGTATACTTAGGTCAGTCAACCTATCTTATTTGACTGGCAAGTTTCAAATCATTTCCTCTAGTTATCTGGCTACTATCTAGCGGCTTCCAGTTCATTTTATCAGGCCAAGTTGTACAACCTGACTGGTCGTATAGGGTGACTCTGGCAGCTCTCGCCATTTCCATGACTCTGAATGCTCTGGTGACGTTCTTAATTGTGTTCAAGATCTTCAGGGTGTACCATGAAATCAAGTCTACCTCCGGGGTGTACCGTGAGATCGGGTCTACCTCAGACGACCAAAGTTTGGGCGCTACTGGCGGGAGCAAAATTCGGGCTGTCATATTCATAATAATTGAATCTGGCATGATATTGTTTTCAATCCAATTGGTTCGGCTCCTGGCTTCCATTTTTGTATCGACGGACGCCGGCAGTAGAACTTTTAAGATCATCGTTTTTATCCACCAAATGTTCAATGTGATTACAACATCAATCCCTGTCAATGCTACTTCTTGTTTTACTGATAACATGGGTCTGTCTAGGGTATAACACCTACAATCATCCTGGTGCGGGTCTCCATGGGATTGTCCTTCCACGATCAAGAATCCATGAGAGAATCTACCATTGGGAGTTTGCGCTTTGCGGCCAACAATCTAAATTCAATATCGGAGACGGAAGATCATGATGCCGGTATTGTCAATGAAGACGATAACATTGGCGTTCGACAAGGTGACGATATCGAGATGGTAGATAGATGATCGCATAGAGCCCGGCGGCAGCATTCAAGGCAGCATGGACTAGACTTGTAGATATTGCACATGTACATAAACTGGCCTTGGTCGAAAACTTCCATAACGAGCGCTCGGCACCGTATTTCACCTTATACCGCCGTCTATTTCTGATTTCTCCCCTCTTGATTATCCATTTTTGCACCTAGCAGGATAGCCATCGAGCTTTGTATATTTCATATTCACCGTATTTATCGTATTCAGCATCTTCTATTTCATTCCTTTGATAATTTACCCAGTCATAAAAGGCCTTCAAAATATGTTAGAGCGTTGGGAAAGATCAGTCCGAATATTGATGGGGTCGAGATGGTGTTAATCATCATGACATAGCATATAAGACGTTCCCTTGCCCAATCAGGGAGGGGATGGGTCAATCAAACTAACCCACTTTTTTTCCATTTTTTCATTGACACTTTTCAAATCAACCAGATACGCATCGACGCACGCACGGAACTCGTGTATAGCTTTGCACTAAAGTCGTAGCCTAGTAGCGGTTCTAGCGCCTATTACGACTAAACCCAACAACTCCTCCAGCAGACAGTGGTAAACCTCCTCCCGCAGCACCTCGTCTCATCTCCTCTTCATCCAACCCTGCCTCTTCCAAAATCTTCTCAACCTCTGCTAAAATCGGTGTATACGCAGCCTTAAAAGGCAGCATTAAAAATAATCGCAACGAAAAAAAATAATAAGCTAAAAACAACGGACTATATCGTTCTTCAGCAAGTGTAAATCCATCTCTACGTAGTTGCTTCCCTTTATTATCGCTGTTGCCATGAGCTTTTTGAGTCCAGTATTCACCTGGGAAGCGCGGTCAGAAGAATATTATAAGAGGCAGAGAAGAACTAACGTGAACGAGCGTAGAACATGGCTAACGTTTCTCCAGGTAACGGAGTACTTTGGATATCTTCCGGCGAACGTGTGGTATCTTTTGATACACCCATGAAAGCTGTTGCTTGAGAGCGAAGTTCATCCTGAAGCGGAGAAATAGTCAAAAACAACTTAAAGAGAGTGTGCGTTGGATGGGGAGAGAATGACTTTTACCTGAGATAGTTTGGGCTCCTCGTCAATAAGGTCGATTTTTGTTGTTGATTGATCCTCCTCCTCCGCACTCTCGGCCGCGTTCTCCACATTCCTCCTCGTCAGCCTCGTCAGCCTCAACATCAAAATTCTCTCCATCTATTTCTCTATAGTCATCGTCATCGTCGCCATCGTCATCGCTATCATCGTCCTCATCATCGTCGCTACTACTTTCTACATCACCATCAGGGATAACAACATCACTCTCCTTCAAACTAATATACTTGTCCATTTTATCCAATTGAAGTGCGTAAAAATCGTCCAAAGTATATTCGCGTGATCCACGTTCATAGATTCCTCCATATCTATGAAGTAAGAAAATGTTTAACTCCCGGATTTTTCAGATGACAGGAGAGGACTCCCTTACATGTAGAGTGTGTTTCGAAGAACTGCTAACATGGCGTTATATCTTGGCAGAGGAGTTGTGAGCAATGGATCAGTAGGATCAGGTCCGTCGAGTGTCGCTGTCTTAGGGGTCTCTGGGGCAGCAGCGGGTGGCGGAACCTGTCCTGTGATTTTCGGGTTTCGACAATTTGAACTATGCCATTAAAAAAAAGGATACATACCTCGTCTTCCGCTTCGTCGTCGTCCTCTCCACCGCTATTCCGCTCCTTCCACTTCGCATCTTTATCCTTCTTTTTTTTCTTTACGCCTTTAGACTTGGCACACCCTTCGCTTTTGGTTTTTTCAATGTCATACTGCTCCATTTCCCCTTCCCAGTGAATTGATATCCGTACCTATATAAAAAAGGAGAGAGAGAAACAGATCAGCCTCCAAAAATCTTGTATAAAAGAAAAAAAGAAATAAAGCAATTTACAAATCATTCCAGAAAACACTTTCCAATGTCTCTTCGTTAGTATCTTCATCTGTAACACCTCCAGAAAGGATGCCCATTTCTTTCCCCGCCCATAGAGTCATCGTACAGCCACTACAAAGAGAAGGTGCGTATGCATCGGATGCGCGTTTACGTCGTTCCCATTTGATCGTTGGTTGAGTTTGAGGTTGCTTGTTAGGCGCTTTCGATGTAGTTTTTGGGGTGCACTAACTGGTTTCGAGCCAGGACTTGGATCTACAGAGGGTAATGTGATTCTTGGGGAGACGTTTTTAGCCTAACGAAGGAAGGGGAAGATGTGGAAAGAAGTGCATTACTTCAGTAACCATGTATCATCGAGCATTACGCCAACTGGACGTTTCCCTTTTGCGTATTCCTCACAATATCCACCTGTCCTTAGTTTAGGATTTCAGTCGGGCTTTGGGGGGTTGGGGGGGAGACCGTGTAAGATGACGCCGTCGGCGCAAGGCAGAAAGGAGAAACCACTGCGTGGTCTGTTGTTCTCTCTACTGAGAAGGCGACGTTTACCTGGAACCGAGGTAAAAAACTCACGATGGTTTAGCATCCATTTCTCTAAATTCGACTTGATTCCATTTGTACTCTTGTGTGTCGAATAACCACAAGTCATTTAGATAGCGAGCTAACGGTTAGGTGTCAGGCAACTTCATTTGAAGTCACACCGTTGACGCGTAGTTGTCACTCCAGGATTGTAGAATCCTCCAAATAGTACCCGGTAGTGTTTCCAAAATGCCATTCTATCATTATATGTATATAAACGTGGTAAACCAGAGATGGGAAGTGATTTAACGCACTAACCGATGTCCAGATCGAGCACTAGGTCTTATCTTTGTATCCATACGGTCCCAAGAGTGAGTAGTGATATCGAAGCACCAGAAATTACGATAATGGTGAAAGGTGTTTTGATGCAGAGACGAAAATTCTCCACCTATGGTTTGAAGTCAACGATCAGCCGATATG